ACTCGTGTAACAAAAACCAGTGAAACATTTAGACATAATAACAAAAAAATATATTATATTATGATAACAATATAATAAAACTTTTAATATCATATATCTTCTTATACTTTCAACTACATAACTGAAATATTTATATAATATAACTTTATGTATTTAAAGATTTTTCTAATAAGGATAAAAATCGCTCTCGCTGAGCATAATTGTTTTCATGATGTCGTTGTTTTTGTTCAATTAATTGTTCAACCCAAGATGGTATTTGGGATTTTCTTTTTCTACTTATTCGCTTCTGTGCTAAGTTAGTTGATCCGAAATGTAATAAATTTTCTGCGTTTTCTTCATTATAGTTATTACAATTTGTCTCTATATTTATACTGTCAGATGTATTTAAAGTATTATTCAGTTGAAAACCTCGTGAACTTGATGCTAGAGATAACGGTGCAATTTCTGGTTTTTTAATTAACATGTCGTTAATAATATTATAATATTCCCATGTTTCTTTTGCTGCGCCTGTTTTATTATTTGCATCTTTTATATTTTTATATTTGTTTTTCATTCCAATCCATTTCACGTGACAATTTTCCGCCGACAAATTGTAACCATGAGTATTCATGGATGCAGCAATGTTTTTCCACACTTGCTTATTTACTGGACTCGTAAAAGATTCTACATGCTTATTTATTTCAGTTAACAGCAATTTCACCATCGCATCAGTCCACTGAGTTCTGTAATTTACTAAATAATATAATACAATAATTATTTACTGCTTGAGAGAATTTTGAATAATATTTATATATAATTATGTTAATTAAGGAATTATTATTATATACATACCAGCATCATGCACTTCATTTAATGATTGAGCCATTCTGTAGCACTATAGACCAAGCCAAATCTGTGGAACTTTAATAAATGTGTTGTAGATTAGAATAATTGAATTTCTTATTTCGGATATTCCACAAATACATGATATTTTCTCATAACTTTTTATAACTTCAATTTAATATTTATAATTTTCCTAAAATTTAATAATTAATTGATTTTTAATGTAATTGTTTCACATTTTACACAATTTTATTACCTGATAATGTTGACTCGTTCGAACGCTATTTACTAGGTTAACTAACTCTACTCGCCTTACCGGACAGCATTGAGTTGTCATAAATCATGAAGGTATTAGGTGGTCGTGCCTAT